GCCGTTGGGACTCATGCGCAGTGCGTAAAAGGGAATCAGCACGATTTTTGGGTGCATTCAGTTACAATCACAAAACAAAACAGCAATAACTTTTCAGATGCTTCAGATTCATTTGTAAATAAACAGACGCTTTGGAGCAATAATTGAAGCATGCCCATTACATTATACTCTTCAATACTCTTTACCGCCATTTCAATGTTTAGTAGGCGACGATCTGTACATAAATAAAGGTTATTTTAAAATGCTCCTAGAAAAGTGCAAGAAAAGATCAAATATATGGGTGGAAGGAAAACTCTTCGCAAGCAATTGTTGAAACTTGGTTTTCGATACAAGAAGTGTCGGGATAAACGTACGTTGGTAATGGAAAGAAGTGACATTGTAGTATGGCATCTCGTTATTTAAGAAGATTAAAAGAAAATGAACAACCTGAATGTGACAAGAAACCCGTTATATACTTGCACGAAACCTATATTCACCCATCGTACGGAGTGAGTAAATGCTAACAATCAGATAGTTTTATAATAGGGCTGGTCAGAGGTACATCGTAGTATGCTGGTAGTCGTTCTGGTTTTGTAGAGGATGTCGCACAGTAAATCGGGGGATTATTACGGTGATATGAATCATACCAACTTTATGCAGTGGTTAGAGAAGCAGCTTATACCAAATTTACCAGCGAACTCACGCACCTTATCAGTGTTCAAATAAATAAGCCACCAACAATGAATAATCGTAAGGAAGTGATACGTTCTTGGTTAGAAGCAAATAACATTCCTACGAGAAATGAATTTATTGACAATGCACAATTTATTGTGAACACCGGCAGTTCCGATGATGATTAGTGGTCAAGTGACGATAATGAATGAAAAAAGTTAAAGGTTGTGTGTTAATTTAGTCAATGTGAGTGTTATTAATTTCAATGTGATTGTTTCAATTACTGTCCATATTTACACAGCAGAAGTGCATCAGAATTGTAAATTGTGTTGAACATGAACATCTAACAATCTTACATGTGTTTACGTTTTGTTGAAATAAAATTATTAATTTTACTGTTTCCCTTTGAAGTAATGCAACTCATATCGCGTGGCTCACTTATTTATATTTAGTAGAGTCAAATTTTGCATGAGAATGTACAGTCTAAATTTCCAACGTCCTCGGACACACCCTGTCAGGGACCTTCTGAGCGTGGTGCCACTATACATACATACCCTCTGCCGATGCTTCATTTTTGAGATATTTGAGTTATTGGCATTTGAAGTTTGTCGACTTTGTGGCTACCCGTATTCAAACTGTGTTTTTGGCATTGCACACCTGAAATTTTGTCCCGCACCAAAATAAAATTTCCTTATTTTATTCTTTCATTGCTTATTTTTATACCTACGCACTGAGTGCATAAATAGATCTTTAAACTCGATCGCACGACAAATATACGATTTCCTTTATACCAGAATCTCAAAAAATCTTTTCTCGATTCTGATGTTGTAAGCCCCTTACCAGCTTTGTATTGTAGTCTACTGTATTAAAACTTCTTAACGATTGTAATGTTTCTTATTTATTCAAGACACAGTGTTAACAACATCATTCGCCACACATTGAATTTCTTTTCAAATTTGTTGCAATCAGAAACCATATTATTCTCAAGCCGAACCTGCTTTAAGGATCATTTAATTTGAAGCCGGTTCTGTTGTCGATTACTGCGCACACTCACCAACGGCCTGCGCAAGGTTCAATTGGAGTCAATTTTTCGCTACAAGACTGTCTCTCTATTTACTTATATACAACTCTGTGCTTGAAAGACGATTCCATTTTCACGTGCTTAACCTTACTTTTCTTCTTATTAAATTTTCAGTACTTTACTACTTGTTATTATTAGATGCCTTCTTTCTTACTTTTTAATATTTCTTACGGTTTACACCTGACACCATGTTATATTCGGAGCTTAGGCTGCTGAAATTATAATAAAGGTAATTCTATTAAACATCTTTATTATTGATTGAACCGATGTCGTCTGTAGGTTGACGTCCGGTAGTGGCGCATGTACCTAACTTGTACATTATGTTACAGTAACAAAACAAAAACAGCGTTGGTGGGTCAGACCTATAAATCGAGACCGAGAGAAAAGGGGAGAATTTACGCGATTGTGTCTAGAAATGAAGCTGCATGATGAAGAATGGTTTTTTTCATACACCAGGATGACTCCAGCAATATTCGATCACTTATTAACCTTATATCTTTTGCCCCTTTATTAAACAAATAGGGTTTTAATCGCACCAAACTAATTAGTAATTCGACGTCTATGTTTCCCATGTCGTGTTGGATATAATCAAAGAACAACACACGAATGACCAAACCACACCAAATTATGAAATAATGCGTCAAAAACTATGTACCAATTTAAAAATAACCAGATTATGTTGGCAGAAGAGATGTCATCGACGTTAGAGGTTAACTGAAATGTCAAACCAACAGCGCAGTGCTGCAGCTTTGTACCCAACAGAAATACACCTAATTCCACTAGATTTTTCATAAAACCTACGTAAAGTTGAAACCGACCCAACTTTATGTATTTTTTATGTACCGTTTCGGTACGACATAAAAGATACGCAAATATTTACAAAAAAATAAAAATTATGTAATCATTGTGAGCACATACCATGGTTTGCTACTATTCAACATTATGAATTATGTATCTGTTATGTTTTTGTTACGCTTATGTCCATTGTGAACAAGCACTAAGTATTTTAACATTTGGTATAGACACCTTTTTTAGCATGGGCAAGCATAAGAAAAGAAGTCGCTCGCGTTCTAGCAGCGACTCCGAAGGTGAGCAGTCTAAGAAACAACTTTTTCAACGTTTACGAAAATTAGAAAGGACACTGACAAAAGGTCAAAGAAAGAAGGACAGCCATTCCCGGCGCCGCGGCTCGCCTTCCAAGGAAAATAGGACGCCGCCATTAAAAGGCCATCCTACCGTTCGCCGCCGCTCGAGTAGCGCGGGTTCGGACGTGTCCTTATCTACTGGTTTTCGTGACAGCCGTGTTCTGCGGGAAACGGTGTCATATTCTCCCAGGGATAGTCGCAGCCTTCGGGGCTCGATGTCTCCTGTTTTTTTTTGGCCTCACTTGCATACAACTGAGAACAGTGGTGTATAAGTATGCAGAAGAAAATAAAATTAATCACAATTTTAATAAAGAGAAGGGAATGGCGGGGAAGGATTGGTACAACAGTTTTATGAAAAGAAATCCTCAAATTTCATTAAGAAAGCCAGAAGCGACCAGTATAAATCGGATAACCGCTTTCAATAAAACGGAAGTAGACCGCTACTTTCAAACCCTAGTGAACGTTCAAGAAAAGTATAAGTTTCTCCCAGACCGTATCTATAACGTTTTACGTTGATGAAACTGGTATATCCACGGTTCCTAAAGAAACAAGTAAAAGACTCGGACCTAAAGGAGTAAAACAATTTGGAATCATTTCCTCGTGGGAACGTGCAAAAAACATTACCGTAATTGCCGCTTTTAGTGCATCGGGTAATTACATTCCACCATTGTTTGTTTTTCCTAGGAAGCGAAAGAGCCCTCATCTCCAGAAGAATGAACCAAGCGGTGCAATTTATACATGCACAGATAATGGTTGGAGCAATGAGAATGTGTTTTCTTTATGGCTGAAACATTTCCAAAACAAAGTTTTATCTACACCCGACAATGGGGTTTTCCGCGTTTTTTCAAAAACCTCCAAGCACATTAAAAATATTAGTGGTACTCATTTTTTTGTCAAGAGAAATCGTTGTGATTAGCAAACACGATTTTAAAATGAACGGCGTTTGAAAAGTTTCGAATGACCGCCACATTGCAGTGACGTCAATACGCGCGTTGGCGCCCAGCCGTAGCATTTCTTACAATCGATTCAGAGAAAGAAAACGTCGTTTTGACGGAAAAAAGCGTCGAATAATTATTGCATTTGTACCTGAGCGTGATAGCAGAAGTCATCGCGAACCTAATAAATTGTATATAAACGTCCCAATAGGAAATATACGAAAAAAGTTCGACGTGATACCGCGAATTTGACATCCCATTTGTATTGTTGTGAAGACGATTCTAATTAATTTTAAAGTGCATAATGTCGATTTACTTTCAGTCAGTTATCGACGAAAATCCATAGATATATAATATTGTAATTGTAATTCAGAGTATGATTTACTTCGAACTCTGTTCTGGGCATATCTGTGCCCTTACAGCGCACACATTTTTCTCTATTTTCACTTCCACATATCCAACACCCTAATTTTCTCGTTGAAATCCGTAAGGTGCATACTGTATTAGGTACCTACACTATACCTTGCACTATACACACATAACTTGATGTTATACTTCCTATGAACCATAACAGATTTGCTTGTGGGCTTTGACTCCACTCACTCACAAATTGCAAGATTCAAAGCAAAAGTTTAGCAAAAAAGTATTTGATGATGACCCAGGTCCAAAAAAGGTAACGAATATAAAAGGAAACCCAAAATCCAAACCACAATGAAGAAAAAAAGATCCCAAAAAATTATTGAAATATGTTCTAGCCAAATGCAATGTTGATCTCGAAAATCTTGTTTTGAAAAGCTACAGCCACTTTTCGTCTCAACCAAAACGGGTTAAAGAGCTGAAAGGCTTTTTTGATTTCGTAGACCTTACAGTACAAAGCTTTTTTACGACATGTGCCGACTCGATGGCTTTCTCTATATCCTGCGATAGAGAGACTTCTTGCTGTTTTCCAGCTATCAAGAGCTACTTCTTGTCATTATGAGAAGATTGCCCAGTTGACTTACAGACTTTTTTTTCTAAGACGTGGTTGATAAAACTGAATGTTTTTTGGGATTTTCATAACATTATAAAAATCATTCACGAAACCGAACAAAAATTGGAGAAATAGTCCAGTAAATACGTGTTTAAAACTACCGTTTTCGGAACAAAATTGCGGAAGTTTTTTTATCAACGGTTTTATATGAGGAGCAGACTTGCAAAACGCGTTTTGTCCAAAATTGTAAATTTTCAGGAATGACAAAAAACTACTACGTACAATACGAGTTACTTACGGACTTGCGTTTGGTATTAAAAAATCTATTAAAAATAGCATGAGAAATTACTAAATTTGCAGACTGGAAAAAGCCAAAGTGGCTTTACTATTTCAAAAAAACTGTTGGACAAAATGCTATTTGCAGGTCACTAGTTGACAAACAGCATTTTGATTGTCCATCCAACAGATCACTGGGTATAATAAATTTGGAAATGAAACAAACATATTGTCGATAACGTTTACTTGTATTATTTACAAACTTTAAATGAAATTAACCTCTTCCATGTCGTTACATTCACATTCTTCATTTGCTTCTATTTCCCCATCTTCACGTTGTTCTTCAAAAATTGGAACTAACCATGCCAGTTCTGGATCATTGTTCCACTTTTCTCCAGATAATGATTCTAATAATTTTTTTAAACTGTCTATTTTTTTTTCTTTATCTGATGTCCCAAAGGTAGCCATGGCACGACTACCTGGTCGAATCGTGTGCGTGGTTTTAGTAAAGATTGGAATTTGTTTGTATCAGTGCGATAGAGTACTTCACTTTTCACTAAAATATTGTTGGCGGAAACATTCTTTTTAATAAAAAATCTTCGGCAAGAACTTATGCCATTCACTTTTTTGAGCCACTGCAGCATATTTTTTACATCAAGCAGATTCCAATCAGACCCAAGTTTTCGTACCTCGCCCACTTTAGTGTACAATTCCCAATATGCGTCTGGAGTTTTTATGAGACTGTGGGACCTTAATATTTTTTCGATGCGTCCAAAGATTCGATCGGCAGGAAGATAAGAGTGACCTCTGATCGGAAATATAATTTCTATTTCCTTTATTTTTTCGCCTGACGTATGGAGCCAAAACATCAAAGCATGTATGACGTGACTATTTTTGTTTTGCCCCCCACAGCCGTCGGCAAAAAAACGGATCTTCGTCGCATCTTCAGGAAATTCAGTTCTTTTTAAAAAATCAATAATGGCAGATGATGTCTCAGTAGCCCCCCTTCCTGCTTGGTGTTCCATCCACGTGTAAAATATTGGTTCTTGACAATTGAGTTTGGTAACGCAAAAAAAATATATTGACAGCTGTTGAGCGTAAAATGCCTCTTGAATAGGTACTTTTGGCAATACCTGAACTTGCTGTAAGTCGAAGCAGTACGAAACTGTATTAGGCACTTCAGTTTTCATTAACTTATGGAATTGTGTGGCACGAAATTTGTGTACTTTCAGTTCAGTGGATATTTTCTGCTTTTCAGAAGAGCTTTGAGACATACTTATTTTGGTTTGTGTTCTTACACAATAGCTACAAACATCAGTAGCAGGACTGCCGAATCCAATATTGAAATATTTACTGAACACCCGACTGAAGTACTTGTAATTCACTTTTAAACCTTCTGGTGAGTTTTTGTTATATAACTGCCAAAGAATAGAAATGTTGTACTCCGAAGATATGTAGATCCGTCGAGACTTCTGTCTTCCATAGTGGCTCTCTTTTCCTTGTAATTGACTAATGAACGACTTTACAGCATCCAATTTGTCTACAAACTTAAAAGCTCGTCTATCGTCTCCTCTTTTTTCTTTTATAATTTCCTCCCCAGCCTGGAGTTTCTTGCAAATTGTGTTTAGTCTCCTTTGACAAACGTTGTATACAGCCATTACAAACTTTTGACAAATTTGTACTTTTTGTCGACTGATATATACCTGTAAAAATTCGAATATAACACACCTACTAAGTGAAAAAAGCAGTAAAAGATCAACAAAAGCTCGAGAACTTTAATATTCTTTCCAACATAAAAAATGGTTGCACCAAATTGTTGATGAAACACGACGTATGTAAGACTCAAAACATGGAGTCTTTTATCAAAAACGACGTATGTACTTTTATACTTACATGATATTTTGCAGACAAGGAGTGCGGTTTTCCATCAGATTTGCGAGCTCTTTTTCGTTTAGGGATATCCAACTCAATGTTACTGGCTAATATTCCATCTTGAATAACTTTATTGGGATTTTTGTAAAAAACTTCCCGAAGTTTAAGTATATCATCTCGCCCTACTTGCCCACACTGCAGTTTTGGATTATTCTTATGATTACAAACTATATTAAATTGTTGTAAATCAGGATCATGGTTTGAATATCTGACTTGCTTCTTTCTCTCCCTGGATGTTAAATTTGCTTGTCGTTTCCGGCTACCACGGTCACAATCACCAACAATATGCTCCCCATCTGCAGATTCCATTGTAATTGAAACGTTGCGAAAAAGATGCAAACTAAACACACAATACTGCAAAATAAACCGAAACGACACTAAGAGCAGTAACCTAACTGTTAGGTTATAAAAACAGCGTGTTTACGGCTGGACTGAATGCGTTTTGTTCGTCTCACGGACAAAATGCTATTTGTTTGTCTAATGTCGATGGACTAAATGCATTTTGCATGTCCAAGTGAATTTCACAACACATTTCAAGTGGGACATAATGCGATTTGGACATCCAATATTATATGAAACGATAGAGATTCAAGTGTATATTGCAACGCCACCTTCAGTTGAAAAATTTAAAATTTGGACAAACTGCGTTTTGCAAGTCTGCTCCTCATATGTTATCGAATGTGCTGCATCCGAATTTATTGTTTGCTGCCTTGTAGGAAGTCGGCTTCATACCGAAATACGCAAAAAAATTGGAATTATTCAGTACTTTTTTCAGTTTTTTGCTTATATCTCAAAAACGTACGTTTTTTAAAGATGGGCGCCCTATACAAAATTAAAGTAAATAAAATTTTCTACAAAATACATTATTTAGCTTTTATTTAACGATAAGCGGTACCCGCGCTAGAGTTCGCTAAAAAAACCACGATTTTTTGAATTTTCACAAAAGCGCCCAGTACCTACCTTGAAGTCGAGGAATAAACAAGTAATCAACAAAAAACTTAATTTTTGCACAAAACTGTGCCAGCAATGTGAAGGGTCGTGCTCCAACATCGACGATAGGATACGATGCAGAATGCGGAGGCGATCTGGATGAGCTAGTTCCAGTCTTACCGCCTGAAGAGACAGAAGGTATCAATTTATATAAGATTTTGCATCATTATTATGCATTTTTACTTAGTTTTTTCTAGTGTTACACTTTTCAATGTAACATTGAACAGTCACAAATTAGTATTCAGCCTAGACCTTCCACAGCTCCTGACCCTTTGATGGACTTTCGATTGCCCAAGACCCTTTACCTGGGCCTTCTAGTGGACGACGCAAAACAAAACGGAAACGTACAAATTAACTGTGGCTATGTCGCTACAAAATCAAACTGCATCGACAAAGCAGAAAAATGTATTTGCTGTTCGAAAAAGTATTCATGTTATACAATTCCTACAAAAGTGAGCCCAGTAGCTGAGTGGTATTTAAGATATTCAGTGCCGAGTATCGGGTATTGCTTGATTGCCGGTGAAAAACAATTCGAACACCGACTACAATCTTATACGTTTATATCTGATTTGAATAAATTTGTTGATTCAGAAACAATTTCTACAGTACTGTGACAGATAGTTTGCGAGGAAGCAAGAAAGGATTGCCGTAACTAATGATGCAATGTAAATTTCCCTATGGCCCATTTTAAATAACTCTACGCATTTACATTGTCGTATGGCTCGTCTTAAAAAAAAACACCCCGTACTATAACATGTGCACATTATAAATTCACATATGATTTTTATAAATACCTAACTAAATAAATAATGCAAAACTACTGTTATATGTTAAAAGGCTAATATTCAAAACATGTAGGTAGCCTGTATAACTTAATCGTGTCAATGTGACATGCGATTTTTAAATTTCCCAATTTCTATAATTTGATGAGTGCAAAACGAATGTCTTATTACATTAACCAAAATTTATTGATAGGGACTTGACTGCATGTGTTTAATAAATAAATTATAGTCTAATTATTAACAAAATTAAATTAAGTAAAAAAAAAACAATTACTTATATTAAAAATTATATTTTTTTTTATTTAAAAATTACTATACATATAAATTTTACAGAAACAAAGAAGTTGGGAAGAGAGCAAGGCGAAATTTAATAATTGGAGAGGGCAGGGAAGAGGAAGGGGAAGCTTTAATCGAAGGAGAGGAGGAGGAAGAAGAAATTTTAGAGGTGGCGGCCGTGGCTATGGAACATACTATGATAATAGAACTTAGGTAAATAATAATTACCTAATAAAAGTTATAAGTTCTATAACTTTAATACGTCGGTCTATCGTACACAGGTGTTAAGTAATACTTTTTGCAACATGGTAATGAAGAAGTTAAGGATTTATTCAAATTTTTTCAATTGCATTATCAAACAGTTTATTCAAATTTTTTCAATTGCATTATCAAACAGTTTATTCAAATTTTTTCAATTGCATTATCAAACAGTTTATTCAAATTTTTTCAATTGTATTATCAAACAGTTTATTCAAATTTTTTCAATTACATTATCAAACAGTTTATTCAAATTTTTTCAATTGCATTATCAAACAATTTATTCAAATTTTTTCAATTGTATTATCAAACAGTTTATTCAAATTTTTTCAATTGTATTATCAAACAGTTGTGTAGTTAAAAAAAAATAATTCGTTAAAAAACAAAACTTATTTTAAATGATACAGCAATTAATACACCTCTAACAAGCATTATGCGAGTCACTCTGTAATTGGGTGCAAGCCTGTTGAGGGCCCAGAACAAGAGAGGGATAATAAATGTTGAAATGTTAAATTTTAGTTATTTTTATATTTTTATCCCGCACGTATGTAACCAACCTTGGAGTATACTTCACCTACTTAATGTGTTAGAATCAACCACAATGCTATCGTAAGCTGATACAGGAAAAGTTTATAATAATATACCTACGAAAAGTTTTGTATTCAACATAAACAATGCCATCATCATTTTTTACCATAAATAAATACTTTGTGTACATAATGTAAAGTATAAATAAATAGTACTTACCTACTTATAAAGTTATTGACGTTTACTGTATTCGATGAATGATGATGTTTACCAATAATCGAAATGACAGACAAAAAATCGTAAACCATATAATATAATATAATAATATACATTTATGCATATTTATAAAAACACATATACCGAATGAGTCGTAAGATTAGGGGTGACCCGTTTTTTTTAAGGAAACTGCGAAAGATATTCCTCTCCCTCTCGACCGTATAAGGCTGTGTATACTAAGCAGCGATTTATACAAAAAAAACGTTAATCGGTGATCACTATACAGGCGATCCATGAAAAATACGTCCGGATTTCCCCCCTCGGTGATCGATACAAAGAAATCGATCTTTATCACTCGCAATATGTAACCTTTTCTACGATATTTTTCTTCCCTAACGCATTCAAGAGATTAAACTGTATACACTTCTTAAAGTGGTGTTATTAGAGTGTATCCACAAGTGACATGGAAGTATCGCTCATTTGTCGAACAAAACCTTAAATTGTATTGTATATTATATCTATTATACTACTTTCATTACATTAAAAACTGTTAATATACACGTTAAACCCAGGATATTTCAATTTTGTAGACGAAGAAGTTAACATAACCTCCAATAAAACTCACATTTGTTTATAAATTAATAACTGTCACATAACATTTTTCAATTTCGCCAACTTAAGTATGACGAAATAGACATAAAATAATACCAGATTTCCAGAAAATAAACTAAACTTTTAATTAAAATTGTGGAAAATTTAAAACCTCTGCCACAAATTTTTTAATTGAAAACGTATCACTAAGGTGATCTCTATCTATTTCTATCAATTTTATGATCATACCTGGGGGACTTATTAACATCACGTACTCAAGAGGTTATGATTTTATTAAATACAACTATTTTAATTATTGCAGAATTATTCTATGGTTTACTCGTAAAAAATTCAAAAGAGTAAAGTTAGGTAAATATCAATCATTTGACATCTTTAACTATAAAAGCACAAACTTCATTTCAAACCTGAAGCCACACCCTGAAGTTTCCATTTCCATTCCAATTTATTTCTATTATACTAAAAAAGCTTAAATTTTCAACACTAATACGATGCAATTAGTCGAAAAAAACGGCCAAACCTTATCACTACAGTAAAATTTTCCCCCCAATTGCAAATTGTTCTATACAGTACATTAATTTCGTTTATACGAACAAAATAAGATTACGTGACGCTAATAAGCCCCCCATGTACGATCATTAAATTGATAGAAATGGATAGAAGGCAACTTAACGAAGCGTCTTCAATAAAAAAAATCTGCGGAAGGGGCCCTCCACAAACTTTATAAATAGGTATCTAATAGGTTAGTAATATTTACTCCATTTTAAATAAAGGTAATATTTAAGAAACATCATCCATCACAAAGAAAGTACTTTATTTTGAAAAATTGCAGCTTTCCTTAAAATGCGTCATGAAAAAGTATATAAACAAACAAAAATCACAATGATGCCATTTGATATACGTACATCAAAAATTATTTAGGAAATTTGTGTTAAATTTATTTTCATTAAAAAAATTAAATTAAATCTACTTAGGTACATACATATATCTATCTTTTGTTTAAGTATTCTATTGATATATTTATTTTAAATTTTAGATGCCAAACGGTAAGAAATTGATTAATAAAATAATGATATATAAATATTAATGATAATATAAAAACTGAAGAAACCGCAGCAAATACGTCAACTGTCGCCGACGACGGCGACACCAGGCAAACAACTGAGGTAATGTACCATCAATAATTATAAATATTTATATAGTGAAATCAACACCTAACTACCAATAAATGATATTTAAAATTTTAAATTTATTCCAAAGACAAACTGGTAATACTTAAACACGTCAAATATACCAAAAAGTATAAAACTAGACTTAATCTTTACAAATTGAGAATCATAAAATTTAAAAAAAAAATTTTTACAACTTGTAACTCCTTTATTATTACAACCACAGTAATTTATGTCAAATATTTTAAACTTTTTAACGTATTTCTTCTTATCATTAAAATATCAACTGTCACCATTTTATACAAATAGAAAACTTTAATTGATTGTAATGTCCTTAATTTCATAGTATTGGTAATTAGTGTTGACCATTATTTAATTTGTTTTTTATAAAATACATACGCATACACAGGATGTTCCATAAAAAAGTTACTTTTATCATATATCTTAATATCGCAATACACAACTTTTATATTTTTTAATTGAACTGCAATGACACAATTAACAATAATACCAATTTCACTTCAACCACATTGTTTATATAAATATAAAATATGTGACAATATTCAGAAAATGCCACATTGCCAATTAATTCTATAAAACAATACAAATTTAAAGTTATACATATTCTAAGATCTTCATACCCAGTATTAGTATTTCACTTAATTTATAAAACTTCAACTCTCAACATGAGAAATTAGAAACAAAAAATTTTCGATGCTTTCATTTTTTCAATTTTAATTCTTTGTCATGCAACTTTTATTTTACACATAAACACAATGTTATATATTTATAATAATATACTATTTCCTTTTAATTTTTAGGTGGAAGAAGAACAAGTTAACGGTAAGCATAATTGATTCATTTCTAAAATTCAATAAAATTAATACTTTAAATCTTTATAGAAACGCAAAGTCGCAACGAATCTGAACGAGTAAGTAAATAATATCTAACTGGAACCTACGAATAGCGAAAAGACTAAACAGTCGAAGCCAAATCTATATTAAAAAAAAATCTAATTTCATTATTAATTGAATTAAGTAAATTAAAAAAATAAAGACATATTTTTAAACTTTTTACATACACTTTTTTTAATTTACAAGATTCAACAAATTTACAATACAATACAAATTTAAAATTCTACAATTTTTTTAATTTCATTTCATTTTGATCTTTTCAACAAGTTGTATATTGTATTTCTTAAGTATAAATATTTATTGACAATCATAAAGAATACGACATCAAATTTCAACATAAAACTTGTACAGTATATCTTTCATGATTTCATTTTTACACGCAAAATATTTTATCATACACCAATAGGTACCTACAATAGAAACTTGCCGATCCGACCTAATCCGGATCTGAGATTATTTGAGTGAATGAATTTTTCGAATTAACAAAAATAACAATAAAATTTTATTCTGAATTACTTATTAAGAAATAAATAATTGTAATTACAAATGATACAAAATAGAATAAACAAAACACAACAATTGTTCTAAATCTAAACAATGCATATCATCAATATCAAAATGCCCATCATGTAATCACATTTTGATGAAAAAATTGTACAATACTGACACTGTTGTTCGAATTATTCTTTACTTACAAAATAACGTACCTATAATACACTTTCATCCTGTTCGAATTGGCGAAGGTCTACTGTAGCTATTAATATATTTATAAAATTATACTGTTTTCATCTTATTTTTAGACGGAATCCGATGCGGTGGAGTCGCGGGGTCAGGTAATTAATATATATTATTTGTTCACATCACACTACAGATGCAGTTAAGCTCCTCCAAAAAAATTCGAACATTTTTTATTGACCAAATTTTCTAAACCTATAACAAACGACCATTTGCATTCATTCATAATTACTGTATCTGAATTAACATCCATAATATCAAATCTATCCTTGCGTTTTGTATTTATCTTACTTACCTCAATTTCCTATTAATTTTATTAAAACAAACAAAATAGTTTTTTTGAAGGATTTACGCTATTCAAAAGGTTGGTAACTATAACGTAGATTGTAATATTTGGAATCAAATTTGAAAACTTTTAAGACCAATATCTCTTCATTGTAATAATTTTCATTTCTTTTGTACCTTATACACGATGTTTTTTTAAAGATGGGCCATAGAGAAATTTAAATTGCGCCAATTGTTCTCAAATTTTGACCTTACGCTTAGTCATTTCACAAACAGTTCTCTATCTCAACCCTGCATCAACAAAGCAGAAAAATGTATTTGCTGTTCGAAAAAGTATTCATGTTATACAATTCCTACAAAAGTGGGCCCAATAGCTGAGTGGTATGCAAGCTGTTCAGTGCCGAGTATCGGGTATTGTTTGATTGCCGATGAAAAATAATTCGAACACCGACTGCAATCTTATACGTTTATATCTGATCTGAATAAATTTGTTGATTCAGAAACAATTTCTACAGTACTGTGACAGATAATTTGCGAGGAAACAAGAAAGGATTACCGTAAATAATGATACAATGTAAATTTCCCTATGGCCCATTTTAAATAACTCTACGCCTTTACATTGTCGTATGGCCCTTTTTTAAAAAAAACACCCTGTACTACAACATGTGTACATTATAAATTCACATATGATTTTTATAAGTACCTACCTGAATAAATAATGCAAAACTACTGTTATATGTTAAAAGGCTAATATTCAAAACATGTAGGTAGCCTTAAGTATAACTTAATCGTGTCAATGTGACATGCGATTTTTAAATTTCCCAATTTCTATAATTTAATGAGTGCAAAACGAATGTCTTATTACATTCACCAAAATTTATTGATAGGGACTTGCACTTGACTGCATGTGTTTAATAAATAAATTATAGTCTAATTATTAACAAAATTAAATTAAGTAAAAAAAACAATTACTTATATTAAAAATTATATTTTTTTTTATTTAAAAATTACTATACATATAAATTTTACAGAAACGAAAAGAAAGAGATTGGGAGGTGAGCAAGAGAGGAGGAGGGAACAATTACAGGGGGCAAGTAAGGGGGAGAAGAGGAAATTTTAATGGAAGAAGAGGAAGAGGAAGAGGAGGGAGGTTTAATAATTTTAGAGGTGGGCGAGGCTACACAAATTATTATGATAATAGAACTTATAACTTTTATTAGGTAAATAATAATTACCTACCTAATAAAAGTTATAAGTTCTATAACTTTAATACGTCGGTCTATCGTACACAGGTGTTAAGTAATATTTTTTCAATTGCATTATCAAACAGTTTATTCAAATTTTTTCAATTGCATTATCAAACAGTTTATTCAAATTTTTTCAATTGTATTATCAAACAGTTGTGTAGTTAAAAAAAAATAATTCGTTAAAAAACAAAACTTATTTTAAATGATACAGCAATTAATACACCTCTAACAAGCATTTGCCACGGAAAATCCGGAACAAATGTTACCTACCCGGTAGCTCACTGCTGGTGGACGATGGTCGAGGGCTGCTACAACCACTGCTGTAGGGCGCCACAAGTTTGTAAGGGAAATTCCTCTCAAACTTGAAAGAGGATACACAAAACAAGATAGGAAAATTATGAGATTTATTAGGCACACAAAACGAAGGAAATAAAATTAAATAACTAAAGGTATGATTTTGTTTTCAAATAATAATTGGGTGCTATGGGAATTATGCTTATTACGAATAATAACCGACGGCAACAAGACCAGAATTACTGGCTTTTATACGTATAAACCAGCGGGTGAATGACTTGTGAAAATAAAGGGAGGTTTAAGCAGGCTGCCGTTGGAAGATCTTCCTTACTTGGACCTTGCCAGGTAAGACGCAATATAGTAGTTAAGGTGAAAGCATAGGTCTTGTTTTTGTCTCACAAATATTGTAAATAAGGTAGTTGCAATACACCCCCCCCACACAAATTAATTTGAACTAACAAGTTCTGTTAAATATTGACTACTGTCAAATCTCAATACAAAATACAAATTAAATTATTATGTGCCACTTGGCTTTTGCATTATCAATACCAAAATAATTGAGGGTTAAGGAGGTAAGACAAGATGGAGGATTATGGGAAGGACTAGGATGGGTGAGTAAACTTCAGGTAATAGGAAAGGTCTAACCTTGGTTTGTCTTCAGCCGCCGGTGGAAGTAAAGCTGGTCCTCAGGTGGTATCGGCCCAGAATGGAACAATCGACTTAATATCACTAGGCCTGGATGGACGTTGGATTGCCCTGAAGTTCACGGTGGAGGGAACGATTGACGACACGGGAAATCAAGATGACGAGACACAAAGAGCTTCGGTGAGTCCGATACACAATCCAAGTTGTATTTTAATTTCAATCCACTAGGTAGATATGTAGAAAATTAGCAATGTCGCAACGTAGAAATGGCTGCAAAGATTAATTCCTAAGATCGAGCAAGAATATAATAAACTGGTTTACCTCTAAAGATCTTGAACGAGCCGAAGTGTAATATCCATGTGGTCGAATAATCCGCCCAAGTGCGAAAATGAACGCTGGTCCAATAATAGCAGAACCCAATTTGCCAACTAATAATTCCAGCTTCAAAGGAGCCTTTATTCTTAAATAATCCTCGTGATGAGTTGGATAAATTATAATTAAGAATACAGCTAACCACACTTCAATCTTGCGCGAGAGTTGCAACAGGAAGAGAAGAAGACTTTCACTTTTCCTGGGGAAATGTATAAAAGTGGGGATTCCCCTAATCAATCTCAGGTGACCAAATATTTAAACTTTAAAGATTCCCAACTTTGAATTGCAGGACAAGGAGAAAACCTACATAGAAGAGGATAAGCAGTGATAACAATTTAAATGTGACAATGCAATAAAATATGCTGTCACGGAGTGAAAATTAAGCGCAAGGAAAATTAGAACGTTAAAGCCTGAAATACAATCTCAAAAAAACTACTGAATTCTTAACCAAATAAGCAATTTATACGGTTTCCAAAAAAAACCGTCACACATTATGCGAGTCACTCTGTAATTGGGTGCAAGCCTGTTGAGGGCCCAGAACAAGAGAGGGATAATAAATGTTGAAATGTTAAATTTTAGTTATTTTTGTAAGTATATATTACCTATTTTTCACTTAACACCTTTGTGCGATAGACCAACGAATAAATATTTATAGAATATATAATTAAATATTTATTTTATTGTTTTTATTTTACCTACTATTTATACAATATCATCTGATAGCGTTTTGGACTTACTGCATTAGTGCGCACTACGTCTGCATTATTTTCGACTTACCACAGTGCAACTTTCTTATACCTGTTCGACTTAAGATGTAAAATTGCATTCGTTGCTAGCTATTATAGTCGAACATGTAAAAAAGTGGGTAATAGCACCCCACTAAGTGCGGGTAATACCGGCCACTATTGGTTTTTTTTTAAAATTATATTTTTATTTATGTTAAGAATAAGTTTTGACAATAAAGTAAGTTGGATTGTGTATTGTCTGAGCTTTATATTGGTACCGTAGAATCGCCTTACTTTGCCCATTAAGCCAAACTTTGCCCACATGCTAGGCAATTTAAAAAATTCGAAATTATCCATTTGGCAACTGTGGCAATGGTGAATGCGTGGGGGTATGCATGTTCAAGGTTGATAGCATGTGTAAAACTGCTCACATGCATTTCTCGAGTGCGCGTGGTGACACATAGTTCGCAGGTAAATATTACTCTTTTTTGTCTTATTTTTTACGTAAATTGTAAGGTTTGGTGCGGGATACGTATTTGGGTTGTAGTTTTGAGCTATTGACAGTAGTTTTATATGACCATTAATTACTTCAATATATCCACAGATTAATATTTAAAAAATTATTTTTTTATAAATTTGAAAAAATAAAAGTGGGCAATGTTATCCGCAATTTTGTGATGAAACCTAAGATTTATTTTCAAACAATTATACGTCAATGATCGTAACTTATAGCATCGACATAATTATTTCAGCAATGGGAAAGTATAAAAGACGGCTAGGGGCGCGAAAATATATGGACTACGAAGCTAGTGCATTAGAAAGGGCCTTGCAAGCAATGAAAGAGGGGATGAGCAGTCGGAGGGCTGAAACCCTGTACAACATCCCGAGAAGGACGTTGTTGAATAAAATGAAACATATACACACCGGCGATGTTGGTCGACCAAAGAGTCTTTCTCAAGCAGAAGAAAGAAGCTTAGTGGACGTCCTAATAGCAAGTGCAGAATTTGGGAGTCTTATGACAGAACTAGACCTAAGAATGCTGGTTAGAAATTATCTGGACCAAAAGGGGATCTCTCTGACTTGTTTTAAAGAAAATTTGCCAGGAAGAGACTGGGTATATTTGTTCTTGAAGAGGAACAAAACCAAACTAACGAAAAGGACCTGCCAGAATATTAAAAGATGCCGCGCTGAAAAAACCTCAGAAGAGTTTGAAAGTTATTTTCAAAATTTAGAGACGACTCTGCAAGATGTTCCTCCTCAAAATATTTTGAATTATGATGAGACCAACCTAAGCGATAACCCAGGTCAGCATTATTATAGCTTAAAGTTTTTTTAATCTAAATCTTAATATTTTAGGAACCACGAAGTGCATATTTTTCCGAGGAACCAAATATCCCGAACGACGAATGAACACCACTAAAAGTGCCATTTCTCTTATGTTCTCAGCAACCGCAGCTGGTGAACTCTTGCCATGTTATGTAGTGTACAAAGCCGAGCGAATGTACAGTTCTTGGATAGAAGGAGGTCCACCCAACACAATTTATAACAGAACGAAAAGTGGATGGTTTGACGCTGGTACATTTGTTGATTATTTTAATAAAGTTGTGATTCCTTGGGCAAGAAGATTAAAAGGACCCAAAGTTGTTATAGGGGATAATTTATCCTCTCACCTTAATGTTGATGTGTTGCTTGCCTGTCAAAGGAACAACATCCGTTTTGTCTTTCTACCTCCGAATTCGACCCACATAACACAGCCTTTGGATGTCAGTTTCTTTGGGCCCTTAAAAAAGGCTTGGCGGACAATCTTGCAAGATGTCAAACTAAAATATCCCTCTCAAACTGTGTGGAGAAATCGTTTTTCCCAGGTCTTTTGGCCAAGCTAATAAAGACGATCGAACTGAAGTCGGAGAAGAATATAAAAAATGGATTTAGAGCGACTGGAATTGTCCCCCTTTGTCCTGATGAAGTTTTAAAGAAAATGCCCACAGCAAGGTACAAAGAAAGAGTTTCACGAGAAATTGATAATTCCTTATTAGACTTTTTGCAATCCCAAAATAAACGCGGCGAAAGGGTTCAAAGGAATAAAAAGAAAATGTTGCACGTTGAACCTGGAGCATCAGTTTCAGTGGCAGATCTCCCCATTGCCCAGAATAAAACAAGCGTAGAATATGAAGTTCCGGCCATAGAATCTGAAGTTCAGGATGCAGAACCTGAAGTTGACAGCGTAGAATCTGAAGTTGAGGACGTAGAATCAGAAGTTCAGACTAGAAGCGACCCTGAAGAAAGACAAATAAAAGTTGGCGACCACGTAGTTGTAGAGATTAAAGGAAAAAAGTTTCTAAAATACCATTATGTGGCAGTTGTGTTAGAAACGGATGATGAAAACGACTCGCTTTTTGTGAAGTTTATGAAGAAAGGCCTGGCTGGTTTTATATTTCCTCCCATGGAGGATACATCTATAATTAACATTTCAGATGTCAAACAAGTTTTGACGCAGGGGACTGAGAAACGGAGGGGAATTTATATTTTTAGTGATATAAAACCCAGTTTTAATTTAAAGTAAAATGTTGAACCTTGTTTTTATGTATCTACCTACCTTAGAGTGATATTTTACGTTTTATTTTATGTTTAATATTTAGAATCTAAATTTTGTTTTATAGTTCTTAAGAATTTTTGTTTAGTTTTAAGCGTTTTGACAAAATATATTGGTATTTTTGATGGAAAAAGTGTATTTTTAAAATCAACTATGCTTTAAAATAAGTTTAAAATCACTTTACTTGGGCAAAGTTACCCATACATGGCCTAATTATGCCATAATATACAATTCTTATGAAGTGGGCAAAGAAACCCAAAGTGTGTTTAACTTTGCCCACCTACTTTTTATTTTTTTTTCAGTTGCAATTGAGGCGTTAGGGTTTCTTAAATGTATCATGCACATCACCTTTTGTTAGGTATATGTGTAGTATATATTAATAAACCAATATAATGTTAATAAAAAAAAATATGATGAATTCAAATGAAATATGTGGGCAAAGTAACCCGGTTCTACTATAAATCATTTCCCTAACTTGAAAAATTGGTCACAATTACAAAACTTGCTTAAGGGGCCGCCATTCCCCCACTTTTCCCTACTTTAGATTTAATTTCATTGTTTACAGTTACAGCTGCTCTTTTGCATAACGCATGCATTACGATTGATGACTTGCCAGATGAATACGTAAATTTTGCAAATGAAATGGAAGAAGAAAGGCAGAACAATATAGAAGTACTTATATCATGGTATAATATTATATGTAGTTTTCTTTTTTATTAAAAAATAAATTCATGGAACATTTTTTATTGAATAAAACATAAGATTATAGACACAGCATCATTGCAAAGAAACTGATCATCACTAGAAGAGTGATTTTTTTTTCGCAATCACACTTGTGTTCCATAGTATTTGCAACATCTTTAAGTATAGCAATAAATTGGTCTTGTCGCTGCATTCTTTCTCTATGTCTCTGTGTCAATGCTGTTCTCTACCGTCCTTCTTTTCCTTTTGTGAGTAGGAGTACTTGTCCCGCTAGAAGTGGTTCCACAATCGCTAGTTCTTGCTTCATCTAAAATTGAACATATTACATTGCATCGAGCAAGACAAAATTGAAGTACCTGATGCTCCAGGTATTTCCAGATCCCTTGCACTGCTACATGTTGCAACTGGTTGAATTTCAGGTTTTTTCTGTAATATTTCATTTAGTAAGTCAAAAAATTTTCAAAATTTTGGATCGTTGCCGGAAGTGTCGTTATATTTCTTGACTATCTTGTAATGTTTGACCAATCCCTTCCAATTCGTGTCGCGCTGCGTACCTACCAATTTAATCCCAACCTTTTGCGACATTAGTTTTATTCGTTTTAGGTTGATATTGGTGACGTAGTCACTTCTGTCAACACCAAACCATTCGTTTTATACAAAAACTTTAACCAAGTGCACAATAACCCTATTCGTTTTAAAATTGTTATGTCAGCCCTGTGGTTGTCAAAGAGTGAACATGCTCAAGGAGGATAGGATGTAGGTCAACTTTAAATTTACGAATAAGTGAGGTTACGTGTGTCTGTATAGGCCTACAAAAATTTTTAATCTCCAATATCATTTTTAAATACACTTGTCGCACCGATTCCAAGAATATTCGCTTCCTGTGCATTTTGTATCACAACAACGTATGTCAACGTGTTTATTATGTGTTTTTTTCCAAATGTTACATTTCTTACATTGAAACCCAAACAGATGTATTCGGGTGGGATTTCCTACGTGAACAATGTAGGGGAGAGTAGGTACCTTTCGGACCGCGGGATGTTTAGGACATACTTAAATATTACCGCCGTTGTGAATTTTGAACACTGTAGCACCTGTAGGTATTTATATTGTATTGGTACTTAAAGATAGACCGTCCTTTGTAGTTTTTGTCATATACTCAACACTTAGCTTACCTACCTATAACCTAACTTTTTTTAAAATTTCCCAAATATCTAAAACCAGTAGAGGGATGTTTCGGACGGTTGCATGAGGTACGTTTATACCTTATTATTATTTTATTTTAATAAGAGCGTTTTATCTCACAGAATATGCGGACCGTTTACAAGAAAAAGGCCCCATGTCAGCTAAAGCGTCCTGCAAGACAGGCTAACATTTCTCCAGACGTTTTCCAACGAGCGTTGGATGATATAAGGAATAAAGTCAAGTCCGTCAGACAGGCAGCTGCAGATTACAATAGTCCCAAATCTACACTATTTGGATATGTAAAATCAAAAAGAGTTCCGGGGAACCAAACTTACAGTTCAAAATTTGTTAGCAGGCAGCTTTTTACCGATTGTGAAGAAAAAGCATTAGCAGAATATCTTATTACAGCGGCTAATATGCATTATGGGCTGAATATTAACCAAGTCAAAGAGCTAGCTTATAATTACGCTGTAGCTAATAGTAAAAAAGTACCTGACAATTGGTGGGTAAACGGACGCGCAAGCAAAGATTGGCTTAAAGGATTTCTTCAAAGGTAAAAGAACCTATCAATTAGGAAGCCAGTATCAACAAGTTTGTCGAGAGCTACTAGCTTTAACAAAAAAAAACGTTGGGGAGTTTTTTGACAAACTTGCCCATTTATTTGAAAAATATCAGTTTAATCCAGCCTTTATTTACAATCTTGATGAAACTGGGCTTCAAACAGTTCACCGACCAAGCAAAATTATTGCAGAGAAAGGCAGAAAACAAATCGGACGCGCTACGTCTCGCGAAAAAGGAGAAACGGTCATCGTTTGTGCAACTATTAATGCAATAGGAAACTCAATTCCACCGTGCTTTATTTTTCCTAGAGCAAAATTTAAGGACTATGTTAAAAAATGCTCCAACTGGATCATCTGGCAGTGCAAACCCGTCTGGTTGGATGAACGGGCCAATATTTTTAGAATATTTACATCATTTTTCAAAATTAGTTCCTTCGAGCAAGGAATCCCCTGTTCTTTGCATATACGATAATCACGACCGTCACGTTTCAATGCGATTTCTGCCCAGTGCTCTGAATGTCAACGTGAAGAGATTCAAAAAAGCGCGGGTAAACGGCGGGAGTAACTATGACTCTCCGGGCGAGAGACTTCGCTTTCTACCACTCATCCTGGGAGCGAGGGGAATCAGATGCAACGACGAGACGGCGAACATCTTGCGCATACCACCATCTTTGCGCGCCAGTTGTGTGCATACCTGTTTAAAATGGGGAAGCACTACACAGGAACTTCATGGCTGCCGTCTGGAAGTGGAGGCCGGAGCAACACACATAGTCCCCGAAGACCCACCAACCGGCCGTGTCACTCAACCCAACACCGTAGCTCATCGGCGCCGATATATAATATTATTATGCTTTGTATAATAATCAAATAGTATAATTATCTCTTTTGTAATTCCACTGCGGGAAACTAGCCTAAGCAGAAATGTGGTACCAATGTAAATTCACCAATAAACCATTCGTTAGCCAAATGCCTCATCTAAGTGACGTGCATGAATGGATTAACGAGATTCTATGCAAGGGAAAAAGGCATTGTCATTTTAACGTTGCCTCCTCATTGCAGCCACAAGCTGCAACCATTAGATGTGGGGGTGTTTCACAGCTTTAAAACTTTCATAGGATGTGAACATGACAAGTGGCTGCTAAATAATCCGGAAAAGACCATCACGATTTATGAAATTGGCGAGTTTGTGAAGAATGCTTATTCTGCGTCATTTACTAAAGAAAATATTGAGAGCGGATTTCGTGCAGCGGAATTTTTCCATTTAACAGAGACGTATTTAAAGAAGTGGACTTTCTATCCAGTGCCGTTACAGACCGTTCCTACGAAAATTCTGCCAAAAATCAAGAAATTATGAATGGTCCGGATAGTGCAAATTTAGCAGCTAATGGGGAAAATAATAATCAACAAATCAGTGATCCCGGTACTGAAACTGCAAGCTCTTGTATGTCACAGCCCATTGTTCCTGTTCCTTCATCATCACAGCTGATGGTGACTCCCGAGTACGTTAGACCACTACCCAAAGCGGGTCCACGAAAAAAAAAACAATGTTGGCGAAAACCCGGAAGGAGTAGGATCCTAACGCATACGTCAGAGAAAGAGGAAATTGAAAATGCGCTTAGAGTAAAACAAGATAAACTTCAAGAGAAAGAAGAACAAAAGAAACTAAGAGAAATAAACAAGTTAAAGAAAGAGGCAGCGAAAAAGAACATTTTCTCCAATAGAAAAAAATCAAAATCTACAGACTTCGCAAATGGTTCATCTTCAGATGAAGGCGATATTGACATTGAATATCAGGAGAGTGATGATTCGCCGTATTATGAAACTGAAGAAGAATCGGAAGAAGAGCCTGACGTTAATAACAGGGATTTCAAACAGATGTCCTTGCGTTAAGGATTAAATTAATTTTTAAGTTGAAAGCTTAACAGCCATTAGGCATTTTCTATAAGAAATAATTTTTATTTTGAAGTAGATAAGCTGGTGTTAGGTAAGGGAGTAGTTTTGGTTGCTTTTCGTTATCCCAATATATTTTAGGTTTTTGCAATATTAAATTTATCCAAACAACGCGCAGTTTATTTAGTCATCTAATTCGGATCTACAAGAAGCATCGTAACAGCACTTGTTATGCATTAGTTATATTGAAGCTTTGTTTTTGTATCAATATATTGTTCCCAAGTTATCTGATTTCAATATAAATTCCGTCGTCCCAAACATACCTGGTGTAGGTATATTTCGGACAAAATGCAACAATTACAACAATAATTCATTAAAAAAATAATATCGTAACAGATAACTGATTCTTACCGTAGCGTAAATGATGATGAAAGAGGAATGTGAACTTCATAACATAATTACTTGTAAAATTACACACGATTTTAAGTACAAGTGTCCGAATGGTACCTACTCTCCCCTACCTATAATTGTGTAATTTCAATGTAGATAAATAAAAATCCTGGATATACTTGTTCTACCTCGTCCCTGAAGTGAGCAGGGCATGTATGAGCTCAAAAATTGTTCAGTGTTTTATTATTTTGAGCTTTTCAACAGTACCTATTTCAATTTTTGAGCTCTCACGGTTATTTTACAAATCAAATTTATAAATGACCTGCCAATTTCAAGTCAACTTGACAAATAGATCACCGCCTACAAATTAACGAAGTGCCACGAAGTCGGATGTTCGGTACGGTAGTTAGTTAGCTACAGAGTGATATTATTTGATTTGATAATAATGGCGGTAAGTATTTAACATGTCATTTTTATAATGGTTCAATTACCGTGGATAATTGTAAAATCGAATTACAGGGCATAACGGTAGATTTTGCTTATCTTTTTAAAAAAGTGCCGTCGGTTTTGCTAGAATGAACATTATAATGCCATGTAGGTACTTTCGATTTCTCAATTACAGTCAAGGTCATCTTTCGGCATCAACTATCATGGTGTCGATTTCCCAGTGATATGTGAACAAACGTGTTATATTCATGGGGTTCAATTTTCCTGATCAATCTAATTTAATATTTATACAGGGTGGCCCATTAGTGTGTGGGTGGAATATTGTGGGTTTATCCAAAATGTAAACATAAATTATATTTCTAATAAACAAAACGAAAAAAATAAAACAGAACAGAGAGAGCCACCACAAATGAATCAAAATGCAAAACTTCAAGACATAATGACTAATAGTGGCAGGTACGTACGTCTAACGTCTCAAAGGATTAAATAAACCTACAGTGTTCGCATTCCGCAAACCGCATTTTTCTTATGCTTATTTTGTGCGGTAGGCCCTGATTGTTATGCTCTCACCATACAGGAGTCAAATACCCTTTGCGTTAATATCAGAGTTGCTATTCCAAGCAAATAATTTAAAAAAACACTATTATTTCAGGAATTTTCTCTTTTTTAATTGTAGAGAATCATTATTGTTCTGGACTGATAGAGAGGGTCTGCAATCCATCCCCTTTGCTATTTATGGAGGTTTTATCAAACAATGAAAATCGAAGCGCCGACCAACAGTTTATAGATGTTGGACAGGAGGACCTTATTAGATCTCTGCTGTCCGACATACCATCTGTCATCACCTTCCATCAACATCCTTACAGATTACGCGGGGTAGTTAACTACAAAACTCCCATCATATCAAACGATGACGGAAATTTATATACTGCTATCCTCATGGTGTGATATAATCATTGTAAGACCCCTGCTTATTTAAATATTGATTACAAATAAAGCGTTAAGGCATTTATTGTTTATTATAGATCCTCACATCTTTTATAGTGTTGTGTGTCGCGTTCGTATGCATTTTTTTAAACCACGAACCGTTTAGAAACTTAGTATACCGGGTTCCTTATAGATCAAGAAAGAACGCTCAGTGAACAATTGATTTTCCTGGTTAAATACCTATGTCTCCATTACGCGTGGAATTTTTTTACTAAATGCTCCTTTTTTAAAAGTAAATGCGGTTAATACTATAATATTCATATCCTACAAGATTTGTTTATGACACCTTGATAATTTACTTGCGGTGTTTGCTCTTTAGCAAGAGACATTTAAAATGGATTTCTGAAATAACTACAAGAATTAAAAATTGGGATTGGTGGCATTAAAGCTCATAAATTTTTATCGAATTTTAATTTTTGAGCTCGTACTTGTCAAGTTGACGTGAAGTTAGCAGGTCACTTATAAATTTGATTTGTGAAATATCCATGAGAGCTCAAACATTGAAATAGGTACCGTTGAAAAGCTCAAAAAAAGCTCATAAATAATGATCGAATTATAATTTTTGAGCTCGTACTTGTCAAGTTGACGTGAAGTTAGCAGAGCATTTTTTCAAAATTGATTTGTGAACGAACTATTGGAATTCAAAAATTGCAAACGCTACCGTTGAAAAGCTCAAAATAATAAAACTCTGAACAATTTTTGAGCTCATACATGTCCTGCTCACTTCAGGGACGTGTGGTGAACATATTGGCTATACAACTAGCGATTGCAGAAGTCATGTTTGTATGTCAGGATTTGAAAATATATGGCTTGTTGATAACATGGTATACCCATATGACCCCATGATGGACAATGCAGATGACAAAGAAGAAAACAGTGCAATTGTATTTGGAGGTACGTTTTCGATTGCTTTATTATGGCCTGTACAGATCTGAACGAAAAGTGCATAATGATATAATTTGCACTTAATGGTTCGCTTCTTGTATTCGTCTGGATTTGACTCGGGGTTCTTCAAACAATTGAAATGTACCAAACGGTTACACTTGTCGCACTGATTCCAAGAATATTCGCTTCCTGTGCAGTGTGCATTTTGTATCACAGCAACGTATGTCAAAGTGTTTATTATGTGTTTTTTTCCTTTAAGGCGGCCCCACATTATATGGCAAACTCGACGCATCACCAACGTTCGTCTAGTTTGCCATGTATGTGAGGCCGCCTGTACATTGAAACCAAACAATTGTATTCGGGTGGGATTTCCTACGTGAACAATGTATGCAATAATTTTTCCTGGCGACTGATTTTTGCAGCAAAAAGTTCTGTAGGTAAATGCGATATTGATTTGCATTAAATGCACTGTCATAAACATACGAGCCCTCATTTAACCTTCATAATACCGAGCGGGGTACAAATGTACCCCACGCGCACCTTATGAGCTATAAGTCTGCAAATAATTTTTTCTGCTATTTCTCCGGCCTCCTATCTATTATCTATGATAATATATATGTACCTAAAAAAGTGCGCGTAGTTTCCTTCTATGAGTCCGTAATTATAATGAATTTTTGTTGCTGGGGTACAAATATACCCCGCTTGGTACTTAAAGCATGTGTTTTATTGCGCCGGCGTGAAATACCGCCCTAAGTACGTCGAATTACTGAAACGATGTGCAGTCAGTTCACTGCGTGTTTGTGCGTCTATTGTAAGAGAAATAACCGTTTTATTTTATAATAGTGTCAGATTTATAATAGTGTGAGATTTGATATTCCTGAAAATGAGTGAAAAACCTAAATTTCGTAATGAAAACAAACTTACCGATGACGAGTTGCTTCGAATATTAGAGACAGAGGAATTTGATTACTACTTTGAAAACGATTTAGCCTTGGAAGGTGCTGCAAGTGATATAGAAGAGACTGATGTTGTGGATGAAAATGATGAAGTCGATGACCTCTTGCTCATTGGTGATAATGAAGTGGATCTGGTAAGCGAATCTGTTTCTGAGGGCGGCGAGAATTTACGTTATATAGCGAAGGACGGTTCCGAATGGGCTAAAATACCGTACGTTACGAGAGTAAAAAGGGCAAAACATAACATACAAAAATTGCCATCGGGTCTAACACAATACAGTTCGAAATTTACATCTATAAAGGAGGCGTTTGATCTATTCTTCTCTGAAGATGTAATAAATATAATCTTGAGAGAAACTAACAGAAAAGCCGAATTTGTGTATTCCAAAAAAAACAAAGCGTTTGTTCCAATAGTAAAAGAAGAGATGGACGCTTTTCTTGGTCTTCTTATAAATTTTGGAGCTGTTCATGGTAACAAGGAACCAGTTTATGTTTTATGGAGTCAAGACCCAGTTTTGTGTCGTCCAATAGTATCAGCTTCGTTGTCTCGCAACAGATTTCAGCAAATAATGAGTTTTTTGAGATTTGATAATTTTGAAACTCGCGAAGAACGAAAAACTGTTGACAAATTGGCACCAATACGGGATATATTCGATATATTTGTATCGAATTGTAAAAAATCTTTCAATCCGAACGGTCATTTATGTGTTGACGAACAGCTAGTTCCATTCCGAGGAAAGGCTCCATTCAGGGTTTACATGAAGAGTAAACCCGACAAATATGGGATCAAAATTTGGGCTCTTGCGGACTGTGAAACTGCCTACACAGTAAATATGCAGGTTTACCTAGGTAACACTTTTCTTATAAAAATCTGTTGGTGTTTTTACATTTTGTTTTTTTTTAGGAAAAATTGGTAACAAACCAGAAAAGGGTCAAGGTCAGAGGGTGGTCTTGGATATGGTAAGCCATTTAGGACAGGGATATGGAATTACTACTGACAATTTCTTTACCAGTATTGAACTGGCAGATAAATTGTTACAGAGGAACCTAACACTATGTGGAACTTTACGGCGAAATAAGCCATATATACCTAGCGAGTTACTTCCCGCCAGGTACAAAAAAGATTTTTCAAGTATGTTTGCCTTCATGAAAGACAAAACACTGGTCTCGTACGTTCCAAAGAGAAACTCCGCTGTCGTTCTTTTGTCAACTGAACATCGAGACGACAAAATAAGTGGTGCTGATAATGATTATAAGCCTGATATAATACTACATTATAATAAAACCAAAGGAGCTGTAGACACGACTGACAAACTTGCTAAAGAATACACCACCCAAAGGAAGACCAACCGGTGGCCTATGGCAATTTTCTTCCATTTGCTGGATATTGCAGCTATCAATGCTTACAAACTGTGGATTCATGCTAACCCAGAGTGGAAAAAAGGTCGTTTAGATAAAAGAAGAATGTTTTTATTGGAACTAGGTCATCAATTAGTAAGAAATAATATTATTTGCCGCTATAATAAGGATCGTTCATTGCACGAAAAAATTAAGCAAAATATGGTAACCGTTTTACCTGAACTGAAAACAGATAAGGAAAATAGAGAGCAGGTTCCAAATCAGAAAAAAAGTGGCCGATGTCACATATGTCCGAGGAATGCTGATAAAAAGTCTAGAAAACATTGCGTCCAGTGTTCAAAATTCGTATGTGCCGAACATTCTAACATTACAACAATTTGTAATTCATGCAATAAATAAATTTATAGTTAAAAATTAATCAAACATGTACTTTTTTGTCTGCCCTTTATTTAAACAATAAATGTTTAGAGCTCCTGATACAAAAAAGGGGTGGGGTATATTTGTACCCCGCTTGGTATCTAATGAAAGTTTTTTACCATGGTATTACGAAGGTTAAAACAATATTTTCAATGTAAAGCATCAGGAATGCGCCGCAATTGTGGCCGTCCGTTTGTTTAGGGTGCTTTACATTAATTAATTCCCAAGAACTGGTATCTATCCCTAACGAAACCAGCATTCCCTTAAACACATTGAAATAATGATTCGCAGTAATTTCTCTAAAAGAATGTAAACTATTTAAAATGTGGAAATGTTTGCTCTTCCCATTGACAACTAATAAAAACCAATGACCGGCGTCCATCAGCATAGGGATAAAAACAATACGTCCGTTCTCTACTAGCCGAATTTGTTCAATTCAGGGACCTGTGTGTGATTTATAGCGTAAAAACTTGATTTATCTTTTATGATTAACTGGGCAAAAAGGTCAATAATAAAAGACGCTATCCATTGCGTTTCTTTCAAAGTGAAATAGTTGTAAAAGTCCAAGTCCCTGTAGTAAAACTGATCAGGCAAGTTATACTTGGCAATGTGCGCATGAATGTCGAGCTGGGAACAGCAACATCAAAATGTTGAAACAAAGAATTGTATTTAAAAACGCCATTTTCGTTAAAATCCATAGGAAGCGGTTTGGTGGTAATAATTTTACTTAAGCGATTCACACATGTGCGTCCGCCTAGATAAGTTGCTTTGCGTTTGGGAGTTCTGTTCCACGATTCTTCTGTTTGGTGCGCTAGTATGTCTTTTTGAATTCTCGCACTCTTATTTAACAAATTGAAATTTAATTCTTTTTCTTTATACAGTAAATATTGGGTCAATTGTTCAATAAATCTACTGTATTTCTTTGTTTCTCTAATATGTAATTCTTTACCACATTAAACCATCCATCAACTATAGAATTGGACAATACGTATTTTTCTGTTTTTTTACAAACACACCGGACCATAAAGGGAAATATGGCATGTATTTATCTACACAAATGCGTAGAAACTCGGGACAGTGCAAGGGATTCAATTACGAAGCAAGGTTTGCGTCATTCTGTTCGGGTTCGATAGACCGACGGATTGTCAAAAAATCTATATACAAAGGGCTTTTTGTGTACAAACTTTTTAAATTTATATTTTCGTCGAGTTCATAGAAGTCTGACGATGCTGCTGCATCAATATCTTCATTTGGCGCTTCCCTTGTACTACTAATAAGTCTGTTTAATACAAGTGTGACGGTACGCGAGGAGTATTTATTTGCCAAAACAGTGACGAAATCGACAAATAACAGTTCGCAATCCTGGTAACTCTTGGCCAACATTTCCCGCTATCAAAAAAGTCTTTAATCCTTTATTTTTCGCCGCAACTTTTTTCGCATCTCCCGTTACAATTTTAAGGAAATGTGCACAACAAATGTGGATTGTAAAAGGCGGAATGGCGATATTGTGAGCTAAATGTCTATGGGCATTGGGTATGGGTAATCCAAATATTGTAAGACCGTAATTTTGCAAAATTCGCCTACTGACGAATTAATAAGAGCCCTACTAAAATCTGTAACGACACTGTTGAATGGCTACCTGCAACGAAATGGTGAAGCCAATTTCCGATTGTTGTCGATGTATGCGAATTCGATATCATTTCACATACGGGCAACGTAATTTTTTTCCTTCCGCGGGGTAATGAATTCCACCGGCGTAGAAAACTCGCTTGCTGTTTTCGTGAAATTTTCTCACAACAGTTCCCGTGCAATCTAAATATAAAGGGACGTCCCCAACTAGTCTAAACATAAAAGGTAGGTCCACTGCAATTGTAAATAAACTACGATGTGGGACGTATTGTAGTGATGATGGATGTATGTAGAGACGCTTTTGGTTTTTAAACATTAGCGCCACTGCCTCGTAATCATCCTTCGCTAAATCCTTTTCGCAGTTCTGATTCTGATTTGAGTTTTCGAGCCGCTCCAGCAGTGGGAATGTGGTGAATTGTTTTTAAACCTACCAATTCGTCATCGGCCTGTAATGTCTTCTTTTGAACATTAAACCCAGTCATATTTTCAAGTTCCTTCTTGGCCATAGTACGATCGTATCCCCTTATTTGCTTTCGTTTAACCACATTATCATCTCCGTGATTAAAACCTCCCTTCGCGACTAAAACGCTCTGAATGAAACCGTCTTTGCTAATACTGTCGTAAGATAAGTGACAAGTAAATATGCGACATTGGGAATACACACAACAAATATAAACAACAGCCGTCTTACTGGTCACATTATTTCTTTTCGAAATAATGTGCAAATAGTCCAGGCCCCAGAGGATTTGACCTTGCAAATTTCTGAGACAAGGAACCGTGATGCAGGGCTTATTTTTTTTGGGTCGCTGAATCCGAATTTGACATTTGCACAAAAATTCGGATGACGCGGGAGCCGCCATCTTGGAAAACTGGCGGAAAATCGGCGGTTTTTTCACAAAACGCGAAATAACTCATTTGGTATCGGTGTTTTGGCGAAGACACATCAGTAATAAATTAAAGTACATAAAATTTCCTTTGAGATGAGACCTTGTTGATGAAAATCGGATAAAAACTAACGCCACTACAGTGCGACGAAATTCGGCCCAAAAATTCCGTTTCTCAATTTTCAAAATTTCGAGCGCAAAAAACGGAACTGACGTGATTCACGAGCAGTAAGCTCCGAATCTGAGGAGCTTTTGAAGAACATCCAATTGAATCCCTAATTTTGGTAATCATCGACGCAAGATTGCTTCTTTTAGTGTGGTTTTTTGATTTTTTATATCCTTATTGGCTGTTTCGTCAGAAACTCGCATTCGTTATTCAAATGCATAATTGGCTAGCATTTAATGAAAGAGAACCAACTTTTTTGCTACATTTCAAAACCATGTGTTCATCGAACAGTTCAACCAGGATACGTGGTTTTGGAATATAGCCAAAAATTTTTTTGTTTTTCGCGCATTGCCGTCAAATTTTGCTGTTGATAGAACATAACGTCCTGCCGTCCAGCTTTTGGAATACTTATGGCCGTTTGCACCGAAAAATTTAAGCTGAACTTAGCTTAAGGGTAGCTTCAAAATCCATGACAACCATTGTCATGGATTTTAAGCAACAAATGATTGCCATTATTGGTTATTCCATATCTGTAAAAAAAACGTGGGGGCTAGGAGTCAAGTTGGCCCCCGAGATTTGAGTGCGGGAACTACCGTGCGCCGTACAACTATTTTCGAAAATTTTAACGGCACAATCCATTGTGCATCCAGCACAATTGATTGCCATTATTGCTTATTCCATATCTGTAAAAAACGTGGGGACTAGGAGTTAAGTTGGCCCCCGAGATTTCAGTGCAGGAACTACCGTGTACTGTAAGACTATTTTTGAATATTTGACCGGCACAATCCAATATGCATCGAGCACAACTCGTTAAAGTAGTAATGGAATTTGTACGTTAAAAAAACCGGGGGGCTGGGAGTCAAATTGGCCCCCGGGTTTCAATTTAAAAAAAATTGATTTTAGCACAACACTAGCACTATTTAATAATTTTCATTACAGATTATTTTTTTAATTGCGGGGGCTAACTTGACGGAGCTTAATAATTTTACTTAGCGTTTCACACATGTGAGTCCGCCTAGATAAGTTGCTTTGCGTTTGGGAGTTCTGTTCCACGATTCTTCTGTGGAACTTAATTTTTGCGCTAGTATCCCATGTAGAACAAAACGTTTTTGGAACTTTGGGAAGTCCCCAACATGGCATATATTTGTTATTTGTAGAACGTTAAATGTAGACGTACTGGAAAGTGTCCTTGGAACAGACTTACAAAACAAACTCAAAGGGTTGTTACATTGACCAGCACATTTACATACAGTTGAAACATGCGTAAAATTGTTAAGCTGTATACCTGTTTTGCCCTTCCGTGTTTTTCATTTTAACTCGCGTAAACATAATTCAGTATTCAGTTTTCAGTTTTGCAAGTGATACGTGTAAGGTGTTTTGCTGTAGAGATTATTATTTTAGACATTTATCGCAAATATGTCTGGAGAAAAGGTAAGTGATTTTTTTAAATATTTATACGTTCAATGGATTATATTGTTGTGTTACATGTATATAGCAACAGAAACCGAAAATTTGAATCTATCTTTCTATGAAATGCATATATGGTGTATTTTCCAGCTCACTTTAATTGATCCCTTATTTATTATTCAAATTACCTTAGTCTATAATGCACTTGCATATTGGATTTTGTTTAGTATTTTGAATCTTGAAACAGTAGATCGCAGGTAAAAATATCAGGTAACAAAGCAATAACGGTCACATGCAAACCAGTTGTTGAAGGCGGAATTTTCAAGAATCCATTTGAGGTCCACATTTAATAACCCTTTTGCAATTGTTAAGATATCTTATTTAGCTAAATGCAATTTTTTTATTTAGAATTTATCCTATAAACTACCGTTGATCTCTTTTAATTCATTTATTCATACCGCACTTTAGTTGTGGCGTAAAAAAAATAAAACATTAGCATGCAGAAAAGTGGAAGATCACAAAAGAACGCAGGTAGATTTTCCAACCGCCAATATAATAATGAACGTATTACGTAGGTAATTATTTCAGTTTGGGGTATTTCTGAGTAACTTTAAGTTTTAATTCAGTTGTGTAATTTTTTTAATCATGAATTAACAATTGTAGACTAAAAAATTTATGGTTTATCAACCATTATCGAGTAATGCGATTTATAACAATGTTCCTGATGAAATTAAAGTGGACATAAACATAGATGGGCTGCCAATATCTGAAACATGTTCCTTTTGGCCAATTTTGGGTAAAATTC